TTTTCTTGCTGTTATAATTAATGACACACTTCAGGAGTTGACTGGAGTAGTCTAGATGGGTGTTCAATCTTTTGTATTGCTCCCAATGCTTGCCAAAATCCGAATGCAGTGCTTCAGTGGCTTGTTCACTGTATAGGCCAAGGCTTTTCTTTTTCACCTTGATGAACTGTGTCACATGATGGAAAACAGTGTGAACCTTTGGAGTAACAGAGATTCCCAAACTCATGTAACTGTTTTTGAAGATGTTGATTTTTTCCTCATAGTTGGGATGTAAAGTTTTTCCAAAGCATGCAGAGACAACTTCGTGAAAATCTTTGAATGTCTGAATGAATTGAGATGGCTCAGAAGTGCTCTCATTTTCAGCCATTTCAGCCAATTTGTCAATTTTCCTCAGAAGCTTCATGCAGTCATTGCCATTGAAGTGCCCTCCATGAAAAGGCTAAATCTTGATGTGCAATGAAGTTGGCCATTCTGTGGCATTTGGCCATTTTTGCACTAAGCATTTAAACAGATGGTTGACCACCCCTAGCAGAAGATGAAGCTCCATAGGTGGGATGAACTCCAAAATCAGTGCTTGATTAGGACCAAAGATTAAAGGACTATGGACAACATTTTGGAACTCCTTGGATTTTCTTACATCTCCGCCACTACCCACAAAGCTTTGATGTTGAGCTCTTATAGCTCCAAAGAATCGGGGATTCCCACACAGAAGAAGCTTTGAAGACTCAATATTACACCAACAGCAAAGATGCTTGCTGCTATGAGACTGGATGCCACAAATAATGTTTGCAAGTTTCATATCGCAAGAAAATGCTGCAGCTTCTGATGGGATTAGTTCTTGACGCTTGATGAGTCGAAAAATCTTTTGCACATTCCAATAATTTTCAGGAGTGTCATCAGCAACAGCCGCAAGAAATTGCTTTTTCACACTAGTTTGCTTTGAGACTTGTGTCGTGAGTTTGGCAGATTTTTGGACAGGACTGTGGGGCTCTAGGTTGTTTTCTTCCTCATCAATAACTCCAATGCTCACTTTTAAGAATGACCCTCCTCCATCAATACCTATCTTTGCAAAGGCAGTCTTCGAGGAGCCAATTTCTTCTTCAATCCTGTCTTTCAAGTCCTTAATGCTTTTGCAATGAACCACAACCTTGTTTTCTCCAGAATTCAAAATCTTCAAGCTGCTGACAGTAAAAAAGTCCTGCAATTTTTGTCCAGACTCAGCAAACTTTTTTTGAAAGTTTGGTTCAACTAATCTTGTTGGGCTGATATGATTGATGAACGATCCAAGTTTCCTCATTTTTTTGTTAGACAATCCTGTATTCTGTTGAATTTGAACCATATCCCCTGTTGAAAGTCTGGAAGGAAAAAGCTCTTGAGCAACAAACGAAATCTATTAGCATTCTCTAAAGAAGAATGTGATAAGTATACATTTTACCTTTTCTGATTGGAAGATGCATCCCACTCGATTGACTAAGTCGAATTGTTCCTCCAGGATATGCTTCCTTGGATGCAACAATGGAAGATGCAACTTTTTCAGCTCCTTTAGGATCTGACAATGCCAGTTGCTTCAAGTTTTCATGGCGTGAACCAATTGTGCAATGATGAGAAAGGCCTCGTGAAAGAACAGACAAACATTTTGTATAACGTTTTTTTGAACTTTTAGGTGGCTGACTGGTTGTTGCAGGCTGGTCTTTTTACTCAAATGGGTGAGTTTTTTTACCTTTGAGCCTCCCAATTTGGCAGATCAAACAATCACAGGCGTTTGAACTTCGAGTTGCCGTTTTTATTTGGATGTCTTCAATCCTGTACAATCTTGGTTTACACGTCTTAGGATCCCCATCTTCAAGCTTTTTCAGTTTAAAACGACATGTCTGATATAAGGCAAGAAGAACTCTTCAATCATTGAAGCTCAGATCATTCTTGATGAGGCGCTGAATCCTTTGCTTTAAAAAGTCTGTCAGAACTTGGTCTCCTTTCTTCATGCAGATAATGCACACAGATTTTCGACAATCCTTATGGGTTTTTGCTGAATTAGGCATTTTTGATGCACATTCTACGAATTTTTCTTTAAAACTATGATATTTATGCAGCCCTTTCCCGGAAAACAATCGCCGTAATTTTATTGACATTATTTTGGTGATAAGAATTTAAAAAAATCACACTGGTGTTTTAAAATACACCAAATACCATCAAGTAACATTTTCTTAACCTTTTGATACTTGTTATATTTAGAAAAGTTGTGTAAACTTGTGTCAGAAAAATTTTTCATTAAAAGTCACAGCGTTTCATTAAGATAAAACTTATAAAGTCAAATAAGGCTTGCGGACGGTAATCCCTGATTTCAAAATTACTTGTTATGAGATCCCAATCATATGTACTAACACCCCTCAAAAGGGTTTTCATTGGAGTTGTTTTTGGTATTAGGGTCCAAAATTTTCAAACTGTGTGCGCTGACGATATCAAGCTATATAGTTCATTTAAGGATGCCGATTACAATCACGATCTTGCTGTAGCCATTTATAAAGTTTATCTCTTGTCAAAAAGATGGCAATTAAAAGTAGCCAATAATAAGTGCATTACTCATAGAATAGCACCTACTTCATTTTGTAAAGATATAAACTACAACTATCAATTAGGCGATCATAATTTAACTTGGTCTACAAACCCAAAAGATCTTGGTGTGACCATGGATTCTTACTTAAATTACAATAATCATATTTCAAATATCGTCCGCGCATCAAACATTTGAGGATATCTAATCCTTAAGTGTTTTAAAAGTCGTGATCCACGTTTTATCGTTAAAGCCTACACTACTTATATAAGACTGATCTTAGAATATTGCTCTCTGGTTTGGTTGCCAAATTGCACTGAAATGAACAATACAGTGGAAAGAGTATAAAGACGTTTTACCAAGAGAATTTCTAACCTAAATAACGTTTCATATTCAAATAGACTCAGAATTCTTGGTTTGGAACTACTAGAAATTCGTCGCCTTAAGCAAGACATGATTACATGTTACAAAATTCTGAACAATTTAGTTTGCCTAAATTAATCAACTTTCTTTTTATTTAACAAATATATCTACACTCGAGGACATAATTTCAAATTACGCAAACTAAAATGTAAACTCGATGTCCGTAAATACTCTTTCTCACTCAGGGTTGTTTATTTTATTGTTTATGCATGTTTATGAAAGTTGCATTTATATTAAAAGGCAATACAAAAAATAATACAAAAATAATTATTTTAAAAAATTACAAAAAAAAAACAAAAAAAAACTTCATCCGAACTCAAATCCGGGTGATGACCATCTTTAATGGTTATGAGCTAGTATATATATTGGCAAGACCAAAAAGAAAATCATTTCAAGAATTATTTAGCACCAAAGAGCCTGTAAAAAAAGAAAAGTGTTTACAATAAAAAAACAAGTTTAGGAGCCACTGAATATTCTAAAATTTGCCTTTGATTGCTTTTGGAATTAGTTTTGATTTGGATTAGGAGTTGATTGATTTGAAACCATTGATAGGCTTAATTATAAGACCTTGGCTGTCATTTCAGAATACCCGATAAAAAAATTAGGGAATCCCTGGAGATTAGCAGAGCAAGAAATTATCATGAGCTAGATATTAAGGAATGTTAGAACAAGAACTTTGGGGCCAATAATAAAATGTATATATTTTAAAGCTATATATATATATATATATATGTATCTATATGAGTATGTATACATAAGAATGTGAGTGTATGTACGCGTGCGTGTGTATTTATGTGCAAATACGTGTGTATCTATGCATGTGAGTAAGTATGTGTTTGTATCTTTATATTTATGTTTGTGTATGCATGTAACAATATTGAACTTTCTCATTATTTTAATACTTTTTTGTTTTTCTTCATTTTTTCTTTAGATTTTATCATATTTTTGTTATGTTTTTTGTTATAGTATTATTACTAGTAATTTTAAATATTTATCGTAACCACAATTATTACTTTTAACTTTACTATTATTATTCCTATTTTATTATTTTCAATTTAAATAACTATTTTATGTCCTTGTTAGTTGTTACGTTTTTTCAGTCAACTATTTAAAACTAACTCATATATATATATATATATATATATATATATATATATATATATATATATATATATATATATATATATATATATATATATTTAGCTATTGTGTTTATGAATAACATGTGACTTAAATTTCGATTATTATTGTTATTATAATTACTATTATAATTGTTATTGTTTTTTTTATTATTATTATTGTTGTTCACATGTTTATTACTATAAATATTATTTTTATTATTATCTTATAATTATTACTAATTATATATATAAAGATCTGTATTTTTGGTGTTTACTTAAGATTAGTAGAATTACAATTTGTAAATATCCATGAAATTAATTTTCAGAATATATATGATTGATTGATTTTACGCCACTATTGTATTTACAATTGAATCGATGAATGTTAAAAGGGCGGAAGTCTAACAATTTAAATTTTTAAGAAACTAAAAAAAAACTACCTTTCCCCCCCGTAATAAACTTTTGTTAACGGGTAAATAAATTTTTTTTCAAGGTGAAAAACATTATTCTCTTCAAAAAAAAAAAATTATTAAACTAAAATTTACTATGGGGGAAAATGCAGTTTTTCTTTAATTTCCGAAAGTTTACATTGTTGGATTTCCGCCCATTCAATTATTGTTTTTACGCCTTTTAGTGTCTTCTTTTTTTTATAACGTATTTTTCTAATACTTAATAAAGATAAAATTACCTATGACAATATATCATTAATTAGTGATATTTTTATATATAATTACAACACATTACAATAATTAGTGATATATATTAATTAGTGATATACTTTAAAATATTTATTATTTAATTTTTTTTACTTAAGGAAAAGTGTTTTTCCGTAAAACAACTGTAGTCAAAATTTGACTTAATTTTGTGACGTCAAATTATAAGGAACTTGTTTTTGTAACAGATAAAAAAATTTGTTTCAAAGTTCATTATTTGATTTGCTATTAAATTTGGTAATGAGTACTCTATAAAAATAGAATGGATATAAATTTAAAATTAGTTATTGGTGCTGGATTAAGTTCTGGCTTGTTATTCGGCTATTGTGCCAGTCGGTTCTTTTCTTCTTCAAAATCTAATGTGAAAAAAAGGTTCAAAGTGGAATCAAACGCAAAAGAAATTGAAACCCAAACGGAAGAAAATGTTTTATTATCACGTAGTTTAGAAACGTTTTCAAATGATCTTACATACAACGCAAATGAAAATTTTCCGAATCTTCGAGACAATAGGTAATAATTTTAAATATGTTCATTTGAATTTGATTTGGCTTAAAAAATTATTGACATAAATTAATTAAGCTTCGTAGCAATGCTTTTTTAAGTGTTCATTAGGTAGGCGATTTTTAACGTTTATGATGATAAATTTTGATAAAAATTTTTTTTTAATTTATTTTTATAGATCGTTTATGGCTCGTTATTTAACTAAGAAAATTTACAGTGATTTGTACAACCGAAGAACTCCTTTGGGTTTTACAATTGATAAAGTACTACAAGCGGCTTTAGATAATCCAAATAAAGGTGGTTGCGGAATTGTAGCTGGCGATGAATATTGCTATGAGGTTTTTGCACCGGTGTTTGACCCGGTTATCGCTGAGCGACACGAAGGGTTTAAGCGAAAACGCGACATGACAACTGTTTTAGATCAAGGTTGTTTTTTTAAGTATAATCTTACTCATTGTTTTACTCATAAATTTACTCATTGCTTTTAATGACATATGTCATTAAAAGCATATATATGTCGCAACGTTAAGTGCATAATGAATTATTACTAAATCTCATTATGATCTATTAAAGTTATTTACTGATTATTAAATTGAATATTGTTAAAGTTGTTAAACTTAAAATCTTTTTGAAATAAACCAGAAAGTTTTTTTTTAAAATTTTTATTAAATAGAAAGTCCGAGTCAAGTTTCGATAGAAAGTCCAATTCAACACCTGTATGAACGTCCATTTGACTCAAAACTCGTCAAATCGTCATACTTTTTAATTTCTCGGTGCTTAAGCGGATTTAGATTTTCACCGTCGTGCAGTCGAGCGGAAAGAAATCATATAGAACTTCAATTGAAAACAGCATTGTTAGCATTAACAGGTTTGAATGAAATTTTATATAAAATGCAAATTATAGTATTAAAAAGTATGTATTAGTAATAATATTATTATTAAACATAAATACGTTCTATGTATTTATGAATAACAATCATACGTTCTGCTAAAGGTGAGCTTTCTCCATTCTAGTTTAAACTTTAACTTTTCCAAAGCACAAATACGCATGCTCACAATATTATTTTTCCATTCCGTATCCCATTCCCATTCCCGTAAAAAATCGATAAGTGGAACCTCACCTTTTTTGTTTTTGTTGAGATAAGAGCGTGTCAAATTAGTTATTCTAGGAAAACCTTAACAAAATTAATTTATTGGTTAAAATTTAAGGATGATTGTCATTTCACCCCCTTAATCTGTTTTTTATCTTTTAATTGTAAGTTTACAAATTATAAACAATAATCTTTTGTCAAAAAAAAAAAAAAATGGATTGGTGAATGTTAAAAGGGCGGAAGTCCAACAATGTAAATTTTTGGAAATCAAAGAAAAACTGCATTTTCCTCCATAGTAAATTTTTTTTAATAACTTAATAATTATTTTCTGAAGAGAATAATGATTTTCACCTTCAAAAAAAAATTATTAAACCATTAACAAAAATTTATTACGGAGGAAAATGCACTTTTTTTTAGTGTCCCAAAACTTACACCGATTCAGTTTTATTTCAATAATTTTATCAAGCCAAAACTTTTGGCGTCCAAGTCTATGACAAGTAGAACTGTTAGTATTATTTCTATTATTTTCAGTTTTATTGCGAATGACAGTTAATAATAGTAGAAATAATACCATTACTCTATCACAAACAAAAAAGATTTTTGTCTACTTCCATAGCCATAGGTTTAGTGTGATCGACTGGTATAACTATAAGCCTATAAGCCATCAATAGTCAATTTATAAATCAGGGTTTTTGTTTTTTACGTTTGTATAATAATTTTATTTCATTATTGCTTTGTAATATTTTTTAAATATTATAAAAATAACAAAATTTTATAACATTAGTTAAATAAAATATGTAAAAATATTTGTAATATAATTTTAGTTAAAAAAAATATTCTAGAATTTCTATTCAATATACTCGTAAATTTTAGGAGATTATAAAGGTACTTACATCCACTTAGCTGAAATGACAACCGAAATTAAATCTTCTTTGCCAGATATATTACAAACAGCTTCAAACACAGCTTTCGGTCGCACATTGTCGTCGCGTGGAGAGTTTCATGATTGGCCTTTCGGGAGAGGTGTTTTCTATAATTCTGAACTAACCCTTATGGCGTGGGTGAACTTTGAAGATCATTTGCGTATAATGTATCGCAGTGAAGATTCAAATTTTAAGGACTCTTATAAAAAGTAAGAATTATGAATACATTTTAGGGCACATTAAAAACATAAACTAAATTTAAATGATTTAAAATTATTTTTCAGATTTCAATCTGCCATACGCGAACTTGAAGAAAAGTTGTTAGAGGTCAATATTACTTTTGCTTTTCATCCAGAATATGGTTATTTGTTGTCATGCCCAAGTGCAATTGGGACTACTTTAATTGCAGTAGCGTCCGTTAAACTTCCAAGAACTATTAGGGTATTCAAAATAACTGTTATAATAAATATTGTAATAATAATAATAATAATAATAATAATAATAATAATAGTAAAAAAAAAAAAAGACCTATAGTTTATATCATTAAAGCAAAAGCTCTTTTTATTTGTACTTTATTTTTATTTTACAAGTTTAAATTTTAAATATAAACTTAAAATAAAATATTAAATATTAAATGAAATATTTAATTTTCAAGACATTTATTAATATACTACATACATTGAGTAATATACTATTTTAATTTAATTAGCACGATAGGTTTCGTGATATAGCACGAAATTTGCGAATACATATTCGAGCGAAAGACCGAGGTAATAATCACTTTCGAAAAAAAAAATCTTTTTTGGATTTTATCAACTACTTTAATATCTTTTAAATATCATTTTTACTTTTATTATATAGATGCATTAAAAAAAGGATGGGTAGATGTATACAATAAAGATCGGCTTGGTTTTACAGAGGTAATATAATGAATTGTAGTTACAACAAAATATAATTTTAATAATAAATGTTTGTAGATTAGCAAAATATTTAATTATAAACACTATTTAGCACAAATTAATTTTAAGAAATTTACTTTGATAGGAAGAGCTTCTTCATCAAGTTGCCGACGCTGTTCACAAATTATGTGAAATCGAAACAAACTTAGAGAACGACGGCTCATTTTCAGATTTACTTAGTTATAGAAGTATTCTTCAATAACTAAGAGAATCGAAAGAATAATTCATTAGCTTTTTATATATACTTATAAAAAGCTAATGAATTATTTTATATTTTTATATAATATATATAGTATATATACTTGAAAAGTGGTCTAAAGTGCTCATGACAAATCAAATCATGTGCCTTAGAGCTATATTTTTTTATTCAGTGTAAATAAAATTTTTAGGTAAAGTTTTAAAAAGTTGTAAATAAGTAATATTTTATTTGAAAATACAAACAAATTTTATATGAACAGCATTTTTAAATAAATTTTGTGGAAAATTGCCTGAACGGTTTAGAATGTCTTTATCTGTTCTACCCTCTTTCAAAATCCATTCCCCCACTTCTTCCTTAAACCCCATTACATTCATGTAAGAGATTGTCCATATATTACGTCACGCTTTAGGGGGGGGGAGGGGTTAGTAATTTTGTGACGACTCATACGGAACTTGTTAATAAAAGTGTTATAATGTTGTGATGAGAGGAGGGGAGGGGGAGGAGTCTAAAATGATCAAAAGTATATGAGTTTACAGTATATGACCATACAGGATACAGGATATTACGAATTACATTAACATTACGTTTATATTATATGAATACATTTCATATTATATAAAATACAAAAGGAAAAAGATGACACAATGAAAATATTTTGACTAAATAATGTAGGCTTTTTAACCTCTTATAATTAAAAGAGTAATAACTAAATAACAAGTCATGAATTAAAAAAAAAGCATTTCTAAAACAATAATTAAAAAAAAATTTCGATGACAAAACTTAATACAATTTTCTACGAGTTTCCGCAACTATATAAAGACATAAAGTAGAGGACTAAGTACGAGTGTTATTATTCATCAAAATAAGAATATCACCAATAATGCGATAGTTATTAAAAATGACCATTCGTTGCAAATCCTAAGTTGTCACCAAAGAAAAATCAGATTCAAAAACAATAAGTAAAACATCATACTGCAATTTCAATGCAACGAGCATGTTTTTTCAAACAACTGTGTACAAAATGGCACTGAAGAAGATAACGCAACTCACAGTTCGTTACAAAGCAACACTTATATTTTGGAAGCAGAGACTGTTGTTCGTAATAATCGGCTTGCATATTTAGCCAATCCAGTTGAAGAAAAAAATGTTGACGGCTTTGTGAATAGTTTTACCAATCTTACTTAGCAAAAAAAAAAAAGAATCTTAGAACCATTAAACTTTAATTCTACTACAGCTTCAGATTTTCTGTTTGCAAACTCTTCCTATCCTTGTAAGTCAATCATTTTACAATTTTTTTTCATTTCATTTGATCAAGTGATCAATAGTTGCATAGCAACAATGCAACTTTTTATAAACTTTAAGTTTTGAAATAATTCAAATTTTTTAAAACTATTTAAGTACTTGTTTTTTTATTGAATATATATGTTTTTATCAATGCAGGTGATGGAGATGATGATGTCTTGGCCTATAATAAAGCCACCGCACGGAAAAAGATAGCGAACAGAAAAGGTCAGCTTAAATATTTCGTTTTAACTTCTCAAGAAGCATACTCAGCAAAGCTGAAATATCACCACGACAAAATCCAACAGGAAAGAAAAAGATACGAAAGAAAACAACTGCGATTTGTTAATGCTGCTAAGCGACTCAAAGAAAAAGAAGAAAAAAAGGTATTGGCTAAGAAAAAAATTAGAAAATAGTGCCAACAAGTCTATAGCAACAACAAAAAAGTTCATTTCATTATCATCTGAATTGCAACCATTGGTTGATCCCGAGAACAATACTGACTAATATGTACTAAATATTTGACAATACTTTTTTATATAACTAAAAATGCATACAATTTTGTCTTATTATTTTTATTTAAGAATACTCTAATATTCTTATTTGTGATAAGTCCTAATGATCTTATTATATAGTGATAAGACCTAATGGTCTTATCACTAAGCACCGCCACAAGGACTTAACCATTTAATGAGTTGGTTCCCCATTTCAAGCTTTACCGATAACGTGTAAGTGTTTCGAGCAGGATTCGAACTCGCAACCCTTATACAACGAGTACCATGCTCTAATCACTACGCCACGGCTGCTCAATATAAAAATTAAACTCATGACTGGGGGAAAAAGAAGACAACATTTGTCATATCACTACGGCTCGTAAGCATTGATGTGTTGAAACTATACTTTATTTACACATTTTACAATTACAATTAAGATTGATCTTAGAATCCAGATTCAAGTCAGAATCTAGGGAGAAAGTTCGCATTCACAAAAACCCCATGGTTTTATACTTTTCTAATTAAAATGGTACGATTGAGCATAGAAATTAACTAACGAGATTTAATTTCACTCACCTGTATATAACGTCGCCCTACGCAAGTATAGTTCTTTTTTAATTTACATAGTGGGCGACTTTAAATCAACATGGCGAGATTGAGTTCAAGTGGAAGAGAAACAGTGCTTTTGACACACTATACAATTTATAATGGTACTCTCATAAAATCTAAATAATTTTACATAATTTTGTAGCTGAAGGAATAAGCTATCTAATGATATATAGTTCAGATGTGCAAGTTTAATAATAGCTTGTCAACATCAATTTCAGTGCGGATGTGGGCGAGGTTAAATTAAGTTACCCTGTATTTAGCAATAAATAAAAAACCTGCAGAAATATATAAAAATACTTGTGTCAATCAAAGTACTAAGAATAATAATATACTAAGAACAAAATAACGATACAAAGGTGAGGTGATACTAAGAATAAAAATGAAGAAATAGATATTAAAAACAAAGAATAAAACTAACAATAAAAACATATTTACAAATCAGCAATAATATCATCGATAAAGTATAGTATATATGCCAATAAAAATTAATAAAATTTGTTTGTAAGAAATTGCGAAAAGTTTATTTTTCATTTTTTTTGTAACAACAAGTATATTTTTAAAGTTTATTTTTTTTAATTTTGAAAAAAGAGATAATTTCGATAACATATCTTTACTTTTATCCATTTCTTACCCAGCAATCAGCATTTATTTTTATTGCAGTTTTATTTTTTAAGAAAATTAAGGGTTCTCTTAAAAGAGTTTTCCCTTTAATCCGATGTTTCCTTTTCGACTAGTAAATAAATAATTTAGTCGAGTAAATAAAAACCATCGTTTTATCGTTATCGTTTATCGTTTAAAAGTTCTTGTAGTTCTTTTTGCGGGAAAAATGAAATACTCAAAATGAAATACTCAAATGAAAAATGAAATACTCAAACGAGGACAGGAAGATAAATGCCGTTGCGAAAGTGTTAACACGCTTGAGACAATTATGTTTTATAATTAAAACATTTTCTTCTTGCTTTTTCTATTTAGTTTTATTTTTTTTTCCGCCTAATTTTGACTCTAGTAGAACAGTTACCAATCGTCAAAATAGTTTTTAAATGGTTTTAAAATTGAAGTCAAGATTCGATCCAAAGCTTGGGTCAAATCATGACTTAATCCAAAGATTTATATTTGACCTTCTTGAAGTAAAAAACTTGTGGTTATCAAAGCAAATACAACTAGACCTTGAAACACCACTATTCCAACATTAAAATTGTTTAACATACTCACTAAAAACAAGTTTTCAACCGTTTTTACCCTCATACTTAGAAAAACTCTTTAGCACCAAATTGCTACTAACTAAAAAATCTTTGAAGCAAATAAATATAATATTGATAAATTATTCAATCTAATTTAAAAGCTCTAATTTAACAAACTGTTACTAAATACTTATAACTGAAATCATCATCTTTAAGCATAAAAAAAAATTTTTTTAAATCAGTAAACACCTAAATTTCAGACTAAGACTTAGTCTAAATTGTTATTATTAATAAAAACAGTTAAATTGTTACAGTTATTAATAATACAATTGTTGTAATGTAGGTTTTAATATCTGGTTAGTGATTGTACTGTTTGTAAAATTCCTTGAAATTTAAAAAAAAATTAAAATTTAAAAATTTTTAGAATATATAATTTATTTGAATTTGACTTTTATAATTTGTTAAAGATAAAGTTAACAGTAACATTAAAATTTTCATGTTGATGTTGATATAAAAAAGAAATGTTAAAATTGATAGATGTGTTAATAATAAAATAAAATTATTAAGTTAAAAAGTTCCAAGTATGTAAAGTAATATGCAAAATATAATATTCTAGAAGAAAATAACTTCAAAAAACATGTCCTTTTAGAGAGTGCCAGTTTCAAAGAATTTATGTTGTTTTCAATATCTACATTATGCATTCAAAAGGCCTAAAAAAATTTTTGTTCAGGTATAATATAAAAAATTATAGTTCTTTTTTTAGTATTTTACTGGTGTGGCATAAAATATTTCAGAAAAATCAATAAATATGTTGTCACAGTTACCATCTCCATTAAGCTCGATAAAAAGAAGAGAATTACCTGAAGTCCTGGATGCTGCATCTAAAGAGGTTGATTTTTGTATGATGGTTGATGAAAAGTTTCCTAGTCTTGAAGAACAATTAAAAATAAATGGTATAAGATTTTAAATTAATTTTTAAAAATATTTTTGTACTTATATGTAAATGTATCCGAGGATTATCTTTTTCTGGATATTTCTAGAATTCCTGATATTTTTCTCAACTTTTAGTTTTTTTCGGATATCCAAAATGTTTTCCACACATACAAGTTTAGGTGCATATTTTTGTAATATATTTGTTCTTTAGACTTTTTCACTCATCACTCATACAAAAATTAAAAAAGTTTGGAAAAATTTTTTGAAACAGCTTAACTAAAAGCAAAACTAAAAGGAAAATAAGGGAAAATATATTCCAGATTTTTTCTGGATATTTTACCCAAACAATTTTTCAGATTTTTTTAATATGATCTGGATGATCTATGATGTATCTGGTTTTCTCAGGAAAGTGTGTGATCGAGTGCTATTAAGTGACCACACAAATAATATTTTATTTTATTATTATTTTTTTTTTAATATTTAAGAAAATAAGTTTTTATGCAAATACAGTAATATAACTACTCTAGTAAATAACTGCACATCAAAAAACCATTTTATACTTTGTTTAAACGTTTAATTTTTTTTGTTTTTTATTTGTTTTAAAAGACTAACATTTATCATAAAAAATACATAATTTTTTTTTTTTTTTTTGTTATTCACCTCCTCAAGGCCGAGAAGGCCACTACAGGTGAGGAGGCTATTTAATAGTGGTTATAATTATATAAATTAAAAAAACTATTCATATAGAAATTACTTATATAGAATTTATTGAAATTACTTGTATAGAAATTTCATTTATAAAGAAATTATTTATATAGAAAATACTTTATATAGAAATTTATTGTTTTGTTACTTTATTAAAAAATGTTTCAAAATGGAAAAGCATTAAAGATCAAACTTAATTGTATTTTTTTTTTCAAAAATTTTCTCAACAATTTATCTTTTTAAAAGTATTAACTTAAATGATTCTTATATAAAGTTCATTAAAGAAACTTTCATTGACTAAAAAAGTTGTCATTTATAAAAACAAAACAATTTGATATTTTTTGATAACATTTATTGTAAAAAAGGCATATTACATAATTTATATAATATATAAATTTAAAGAAATATATACAGCTGTCAATGATACTTTGAACAAAAATCATTATCAGTAAATAGTTACTATTTTTGCTAATTATGTAAGAGGTTTTAATGTTATTTATTTTTTAAGTTATAGTTTAGAATTTTTTTCAATCAGAGCGTTTTTGAAATGTTTTTTGAAATAGGTGCGGTTGAATCGTAAAAGCAAAACAATATATTAAAATATATACATATATATATATATATATATATATGTATATATATATATATATATATATATATATATATATATATATATATATATATATATATATATATATATATATATATAAAATATATATATATATATATACAAATAGTATTGCATACTAAGGTAAGCAATCTGACGTCATACTGAAATAGCCTGCTGCTGGGGCTTCAGTACATACATCGACTGACAAATAGCCTGACTCGCAGTGGAGTGCTGCTACATCGACTGAGGGTTTGGGATGGGGAAGCAATCATTTTATTCATCATTCTTTGTTTTTTCTTCTTCTTTTTCGAAAAAAACGGTATAGCTAAGGTAAGCAGAAAAAGTGAGCAAATGCTTATCAAAACACGCTTTAGTAAGTGTATATATATATATATATATATATATATATATATATATATATATATATATATATATATATATATATATATATATATATATATATATATAAAAGTTGTTTAAAAGCAGTTTTCTTGTTTTATTGCTAAGATTTGTTCCCATAAAATCAGAACATTACTGATGAGAAAATCAGAACATAATGATGAGATAGTAAATAAAACATCAAGTCCAAAACAAACCTCATTTAATGAATAAAAATAATATTTTTTCTTCAAAATACTTTAGTACTTACTTAACTAAATACTTAACACTTCTACAAGTTAAGTTTTACAGTGTTAACGCTGTTTTATTTTATAACTAAATTTAAAGTTTTTTTATGAAGGATTATTCAAGATTTTTTAACTTTGTGATAACTTTTTTATAATTACAAAATATAGTTTTTATTTTTTTCTTGATTATGTAGAGAATTAATTAAACCTTCAGAACAAACAAATTCTATGTGTCTAGAATGGAAATTTATGTACAAAACAAGATATATTGTAAAGCATACTCGAAAGCCGCTACCAGTAGCTTGCGGTAGTGAAAGAGTTAAACCATAACTAAATGTAAATTAAACATAAAACAAACAACTCTATCGAACCATATGAACTAAATATAAAGCGAAAAACCGCATCATACTGCCTTTATTTTTTCTCTGCCTGCAAAATTTATTAATCACAAATTATGTATAATTGTGTCATGATTTTGGCTGGCTTTTACAACAAAGTAATAATAAAAATTTTATATATATATATATATATATATTTGTATAATTTTTTACTGTCACAATATTTTTTGTGATTTAGTAAAAAATTATACAAATATTTGGTTTTCTGAAAAAATACTTATATCTTTAAAAAAACAACAACAAAAAAGTGTATAAAAAAAAATATCTTTAAAAAAACAACAACAATATCTTAAAAAGATATTGCAATGATATCATATACCAAAACTGTTATGAATTAAACACGTATCGAATAAATTATCAAGTCTGCAGATTGCGGTTAACATTAAACAGACCCCGAGAACCAAGAAAAAATGGAGACGGCAAGCTTCGACTAAAACAATAATTTTAATTTTGTTGGTATGCATTCATTATTTAGTTTCAATCAAAAAAATTCAGCCCCAATTTTTTTTTAAACATTTTCTTTAATATGAAAACAACTTGTATTGATAGTTAGGGATCCCTTTAAGTATTTGTCAATTAAAGACTAAAAAACCTTGCTTATGATAGTAAGATGACTAATAGGACAGTAGTTAGGCGAGTCAGATTGCTCTCCAGAATTTTTGAAAATAAGGATAACAGATGCCGTTTTCCAATAGGCTAGAAAGCAAGAGTCTTATAAGCACTTGTTAAATAGTTTTAAAAGTATAGACGACAGAACACTTCAGCAAGACTATAACGGATATGTAGTCCGGGCCACAAGCTGTAAAAGGGTATAAGTAGGAAATCACTTTAGATACAGAAGCTAGAGTGATACCTGCTTGTTGGCTATATTAGATAGAACTTCTTATCAATATTATCTCTTGACTCCAACTGGTGGTATCAAGAGATAATATTTATGAGAAGTTCTTAGCAAACAATTAAGCTTTGTCTTTAGGTAGGATGACAAAATCTTTAACATACAAGAATATGGTTCAGATTTTGTTACTTCACCTATGGTGGAATAACACGTATGCCTTTATTATAGATACTGTTAAAGATTCTCCAGAAGTCACTAGAACCTAATTTTAAGATGAAATACAAGATTTGATGACCTGAGAATAGCGAGTTTTGGCATTAGACAAAATGTTTTTACAATGGTTTCTAGCAATAGTAAATAGACATCTGTTTTCTGAGCATAATAAGAGGAAAACCATGGAGAAGGCTCGATTTGAAATCATTCATAAGGAATTAAAGATTCCATGCCAGCCTGAATCCACAAAGTTATGTAAGAAGCACATTTGTCAACAGGAAGACAAAAGATTTCTACCCAGGGGCCATCAGAAAGAAAATCATGGAAAGAGTCACAGTCAGTTTTAAGGTAGTTATAAGAGGTATGATCATAAGGTGATTCTGATGAAAAAGAAGAACAAGATGATAGTTTTAGAGAGATTAAACCATGATCAAAAGCACCCAAGGGTGAATGTGGAGAAATTTAGCACTGACTAGGATCAGATACAAAACATAAGTTGAGTAGAGAAGGTAAATGATTCGGGTTGTCTGGAAAGCGAGTTGAAAAGTTGACTATTTGTGTTAAACATTAAAAAAGGCAAAAATTGTGGACCTTAATGCCTGCAGAGTCACTGACACTAGCCATTCAGTATGATGAGCATTAAAGTCACCAATAACGACGATATTGTCTGAAGGATAAAGAGAAAGGGTTTGGTTAACTTAATCAGAAATAACATGGAAAAGAGTCCAGTCTTGAGATGAAGTAGAGTGATATAGAACAAAGAAAAAGACAATAGAGTGAAGTGTTGCTAAACGAAAGCACATAAAATAGTAGTCTATTGATTCAAACCTAGTTTCCCGACAAATAGGTTAGTTCTTACCAATGTAAATAGCCCAGGCCAAGCATGTGACTATTGGAGTCTTTAGGAGTTAAAAGAAGATAACCTTCAACACATTCATTTTTAAATTTTGTTAAAGAACTTGACTCAAAACACAGATTGTACTCAGTACACTATTTAACACTATTTAATATATACATATGTATATATACATATGTATATATACATATGTATATATACATATGTGTATATATATGTATATATATATACATATACATATGTATATATATATATATACATACAATTTATATATGAGGAATAGCTTGCACAGCCCCCTAAGTTCGTTTTAGGAGAGCTTTTCTCTGCTCTCGTGCTTATTTATTCATGCCAAGGCCTGTATATATATATATATATATTTATATATATATATATATATATATATATATACATATATATATATATATATATATATATATATATATATATATATATATATATATATATATATATATATATATATATATATATATATATATATATATATATATATATCAGGCCTTCTCAGGAGAGGCGTGCGGTCGCACACCTTGAATGACCACGCATATATATTTTTTTGTTGATAACATGGCCACAATTTTTTTTACATTTATTAAAAATGACGCATCTCAAAAACGCGCTGAAAAAACAAAATTAATTGCTCATCTTTTTTTAATTATTAATGATAATTCATTATTATAGTTATTAATGAGAAAATAAAAACATTAAAATAACATATATGGGCAATTCCATTTTTAACTTACGTTACACGCGCAACAACTTTATCAAATATTAGCTTATTTAAACTTTTAAATTAAACTTCAAGCAATTTTGTATGAAAGCTGTTAGTCTAATAAATAAAATAAGCTTAAAAGTTTTGAGTTTGGCCAAAAGAAAGCAAACTTATTACTAAAAATGCCACTTGCACTTATGTTACACAGAAAACAAGGTAAAAAAACAAATTCAACTTATAGGTCTCATTTCTGCAAAACAGTAAAGCAGTTTGTATTAGAAACTTTTACAAAATGCAGATAATTCTATACCAATTTAAAATTTTTATAAAAACTTTTTTGAAATAAAATTGTTTTTTTGATACTGTATTTTTTTACTTAAATTACATCACTTACATTATCGAGCGGTTATCATGATTTTTTATTCTATTATTAAGAGTTAGAGTTACGTAACAAAAGAATTGCAAGTATTGAACTCATTCATTAAAAATAATTAACAAAGAAATTTTTTAAAAACTGGTGGCACTCTTACTGAGTGATTTTTCATAACATTCATGAAAGTTATCAAACTGGCAAGACCAAGAGCACCTTCAGAAAAATATTTTAGTTTTACATCTTTATTATTACTTAATTGAGTAATTGGTTTGACGAAGTTTTTATTTACACTTCTTACGTTTATGCGTATTGCTTTATTTTTACAAGATTGAATTTTTATAATGCTGCTAAGTTAAATTTTTAAATATTTAAATCTTTTCTAAACATCTATATGTCAACCAAAATAATAGTACATAAACAAACAAACAAAAAAACAATAAAATAAATAATTTTAATACATATAAAAAAAAAATTTTTTTTTTTAATTCTCCCTATATAAAAAGTTTCAGTTAAAACCTTGTCAAGCCAACAGGAAGAAATAAAAATTGCTTAATGACGTAATTCATTTAGTAAACAAAAACTTAACGAAAAATCGCCAGAATTTTATTAAATGCATGAAAACAAATAAAAATATATATATATTATTTTAATCTTTTTATTTTATCATTAATTACAAATATATATATGTGCATTATTGTTAGGTTTTTATTTTCTCATAAATAATTATAATAATAAATTATTGTTAATAAAAATAAACCAATAAGATGACTAATTAGTTTAATTTTTTCAGCGCGTTTTTAAAATGCGTCATTTTTAATAAATGCAATAAAAATCGTGGCCATGTTATCAACAAAAAAATATATATGCATGGTCATTCAAGGCGTGCGACTGCACGCTTTTCCTGAGAAGGCCTGATATATATATATATCTTTATATGTATATATATATATATATATATATATATATATATATATATATATATATATATATATATATATATATATATATATATATATATATCTATATCTATATATGTATATATATACATATATATATATATATATATATATATATATATATATGTATATATATATATATATATATATATATATATATATATATATCTATATCTATATATGTATATATATACATATATATATATATATATATATATATATATATATATACATATATATATATATATATAAATATATATATATATATATATATATAAATATATATATATATATATATATATATATATATAAATATATATATATATATATATATATATATATATATATATATATATATATATATATATATATATATATATATATATATATAGATATAGATATAGATATAGATATAGATATAGATATAGATATAGATATAGATATAGATATAGATATAGGGTTCAAATTAAGCTTATCGCAATTGTTAACGTAAAAATTATTTATATAATTTATAAAATGAAATTATATAATTTACATTATTTATAAAATAAAATATATATATATATATATATATATATATATATATATATATATATGTATATATCTATATATATATATATATATGTATATATATACAAATATATATGTATATATATATATATGTGTGTGTATATATATATATATATATATATATATATATATATATATATATATATATATATATATATATATATATATATATATATATATATATATATATGTATATAGGATTCTATAACAATCTTTTGACTATTTAAAGATTGACATATCTTTATATTGTCGTTCTTAATCAACAGCATAAAATCATTTAAACAGTTCGTTGGATAGCGAGTTCCAACAGTTCATGTTCTGTTAGTGAAGAAATTGCTTTACAGTGCACTGTTGCGAACTAAATCTTTGCTGAGTTGTCCACTACAAATAGCTCTTGGCTCTCTTGTAATAGTTGTTACAAGCCATTTTATTTTGTTGATTTCTTTTATGATTTTGAATTCTTGAATGAGGTTGTCTCTTTAGTAGCGTATAGCTAGATAAATTAGATTGAGTTTGATTAGCCTTTCTTCATAGCTTTGTTGTCTCATTACATGTCGACTCTTAGTGGCTCATTGCTGAACTTTTTCAAGTGATTTTTTGTCCTTTTTTGTTGATGGTGTTTAAATGCATATTGCGTGTTCCAAATCTGGTTTGACAAATGTTGTATAGAGCTTCTTCCATAGTATTGACTCATGCAATATAAATTTCAGTAAACTGTTGACACTGCTTTATTTACTGTTTTTTTTGGCTTAAGATCCCTACTTATTATTGTTCCTAGGTCTATTTCTGCCATCATTGTTGTTAGGTCTCATTTTGCGCCCAATAATGGATATGGTATAGTGTATTTCACTGATTTGTTTGCTCTTCCCATGTGCATGACTTTTGATTTGCTAATATTTAGTTGCATTTGCCAAGTGTTGCATCAATCATTTATCTTTTTGAGGTCATCTTGAAGGCTTTCAGTGTCTATTTCTTTGTTTCTTAGCTATTAATTTAGTGTTGTATGCAAACGTTTTGCAACAAAGCCGTCGTTAACAGAGTTGGTCCTATCACAGATACTTGGATAACACCACTAGACACTGGTGCATATCCTGGTGATGTGTTGCCTAAAAGTGACTTGCTGTCGTCAATTTGTTAAAAATGAGCCAATCTATGCAATTAATTAACTTATTATGCCATATTTACTAAGTTTTTCAATAAGGCTTGCATTTTGTACCAAATCAAATGCATGTAAAAGGTCAAAAAATACTAAATCTAGTGGTATTTTATAAATTCCAGAAGGTTTGTCAAAACAATTTAATTTTGAATGAAACAATATTGTCATTGACATATCCAGGCTGATTTTGATGCCAGTATACTGGTATGGGTGCCCAAATTTTTAGCCCAAAACTCCACCTCAAAGTATTTATATAATATTTACAAGTTTGTTAATAATAAGTTTGTTTTTTATAGAGTGTAGAGGCTACATTTGACTGTTTTCGGTAGCGTTTTAATGCTTTTCGTGCTGAATGGTACTTGAGATCCCGAAGTATGAATATAGTAACAATTGTTTACTAAAAAAATAATAAAAGATCCTTAATGCGTCCGCGGAGGTTTTGACAGATATGCCCAAAAATGGTAGTTTTTTTGTGAAGTAGATGACTAGTTTGTTTCTTACTCTTTTCCATAATTTTGCATGGGACCGACATCAAGCTGATTGGTTTATAGTTTCCTGGATTTGTTGGGCTTCCTTTTTTAAATATTGGTGTTACATTTGCATCTAGTTATGATGTTGGTACAACTCCTGAGCACAATGAGATGTTGAATATAATTAATAGTGGCTTGGAGAGTTCAATGGCAAATTTGAGCATGAATGGGTGATCACTATCTGCTCCTTGCAATTTATTTCTATTAATTTGAGTTAATAAGTTTGCTACTTTGTCCTCTGTGATATTTATGTTATCAATCATTTTATTTGTACTTTGACCGACTGTACTGTGTGGCTATGTACATTTTTATTTTCTGAAGATGGACTCAAATTGATTGTTATATATCAATTGTATCCTTTTTTTAGTTCACTGCTGTCAGGTTCAAGGCTTATATTGTATTGGATATTTTTAATTTAATTTTTTTTCGAATTTTTGTTGTCTAAATAACTTGAATTTTTTTATGCTTTTTTTATATCTCTACTTGAATTGCAGTATTCTTTTATGATTTTTTTTTCCATTTTGAGGCTATGTATTTTTTTCCACAGTGATGTCTTAAGCTGTCAACTATGTCAACTATGACTTTCCTATAAATGGAGTGGTAAAACTATGTCAACTATGACTTTCCTTTAAATTTTAAGTCTTTTTTTCACATAGATTAATATTATAATTTCAATAGTTTATAATTCATTTGCGTTTGAGCTATCAAGAAAGCTTTCCTAGTTAATTTTTTTTATCTCTTATTTTATTGATTTGTAATTGCCGTTTGATTAATTAAATTTCTTGCTTGAAAAAATGTGGCCAGCTTTTTGGGTAACTAGAAAATTCCATCTACTTGTATGAATGTGGGAAAGTTAACAAGTTGAGTGAGGGAGCTGTTGCCAAGCATATAAATGAACAGCAGGCATAACAATTTAAATCAACATGCTGTAAAAATGAAAAAAAATTAAAAATAGATATTTTTAAAACTTATTTTAATTCAATTCCATGTTATTTATTTTTAGTTTCAATTTAGATTTTGTTAAGATTTGTTGCTGTTGCATTTTGTGTATTATTTTATTTAAATCAATGTATGAAAAGTTTGTAAATGTTTAGAGATTTATTGATTTTAAAACATTGTTGATTTTAGCTTCTCCTTCATTCAGTGGGATGAATGACTACGATTATCCAGAATGTGTAAAACAAAAACTTATATCTGTTAAAAGAACTCCGCTTCCGGAAGAACTTATCAGTCAATTTACTAGTATCTTTTCTTTAAACATAATTCTTATAACTTTTAACTTATAACTCTTGGTTCTTATAACTTTATCTTATAAATAATAATAAGTTTTTAAGTTTATTTTGACAAAAAAAAAAAATAATAAAAAAAAAATAATAAAATAAAAAAGTGAAATAAAAAAGTGAGCAAAAAAGTGAAAAAGAGTGGAAAACAGTTTTAAGAAATTATAACTCATTACCTGCAACTAAAACTTTTTAACGCTACAACAATAAAAACCTTGCTTTGCTGTTTTTAAATTTGATAATGCATTTTTAAAATTTTAAACCTTGCTTAGCAATTTTTAAATTTAATGATGCGGAGAAAGAAGTTGTGCGTGGCACTACCAGAGATGTAGTGAGGGTTGAACTCGAAACTTCTTACTTAAGAGGCAAGTGCTCTGCCACTACACCACTTACTGCATTTTTTACTAATACTATCAGTTTATCAATCCAAATTGAGTAAACAATTAAATAATTCAAATTTTTGAAATTCTTCTTCAAAATCCAACTTTTCCAATCCAAACTCACATTCAAAAATTGCAAAATTGTCAAAATCTTCAGGAGGAGACATATTGAAGCAAGAAGACTCGAACTATTGAAAGAAGAAGAGGCAGTGAAAAGATAAAAAGTTTTGTTGACAAAAACAAAGTGAATCCATCATCCGGTCAATTACAAGAAATCCATTCTAATACCAAAGAGATTTTTCCAAAAAGTTTGAATGCAGTTGTTTCCTTGTCAAAGTGACACAAAAGAGCAAGGTTTTGAAGGCTTACAGCAAGAAAAAATCTGTTCTAAGAAGACAATAAGAAAATGAAAAATACAACAAGATAAAAATCAACTCTAAGAAGACAAAAAATCAACTCTAAGAGGAAAAAAATCATCTCTAAGAAGAAAAAAATCAGCTCTAAGAAGACAATGGAGTGGTAAAACTAAAATTGGCATCAAAATTGTCTTAAAATATATGAATCCTCTAAACTTCCCAGAGCAACACGTTATCCAGAGTTTCTGGACAATTGTAAAATAAATCTTGTTTAATATCAACAAATCAGCAGAAGATGACAAAAAGTTCAAGCAAAATTGAATAGCAGCATCGAAATAGGGCACTGAAAGCAAGATCCAGGCCATGATGGCATCTACTCTCAAAAAAAATTGATTTCTTTTTAAATTTTTTTTATTTTATTTTAATTCACCTCCTCAAGGCCGAGAAGGCCACTACAGACGAGGAGGCTACTTATTTGTGGTTATAACCCTCTCTCAACTCTATAACTCTGAAACACGAACCTTGACGAACAAGGCCGCTGCGCAGAGAAACGAGTTGAGTGCGGTACTACCAGGGACGTGGTGGGGACCGAACTCGGAACCACTCGTTTATGAAGCGAGCACTCTACCACTACACCACTACCGCTTAAATGGCCTCTAAAATTTGTTTAAACTTATTAAAAACTTTATGATACAATAAATTAGTTTTATCATATTTTGTCTTATATAATATATTTTTTTTATTATTATCATTATAAAAAAAAATTTGGACTTCATTAAGTATTTCTCGATTATTTATCTTTCTTGAATAGTTATTACTAAGTATCCGGTCAGAAAGTACTGAGCCCAGCCGATAATTAAGAAGTTAAGGAGTCACAATTTTTTGTTTGATGTGTCTTGCAGCACTGATAAATACTACTTTAAAAGTAACAAAAAAAAAAAAAATAAAAAAAAAATACTAGGCTAATTTTTTTATCAAAAAGCCCTTCATATGTTGTATTTAACTCATATCTTTTTTATATTACCGTAATACCATTTATATATTTATATCTAGATTATACTTGTTTTACTTCTTTATTATAAGTTAATTGAAAATTAAAAATCTCTTGACAAAGTTACTATGAAAACACCATCTTTTCTAAAATGTAAAGTACTGTGACAAGTTGTTGCCAAGGTGCTGATAAAATAGTTGATAAAATTATTTAAAAATTTCTTAAAAAAATAATTATTATACAAAATGTTATTTTTCAAATTTTTGTTGAAAAATTAAAAAATTTTCCAACAAAGCTCAAACCTCGGCATTTTAAAAACAAAATCTGATATCTATAAAATCTTAGATTTCATGAAATAATCATGAAGATTTTGTGCAGAGTAAGATCTCTTTCATACACCTAGAAAAAGCAGCTCTTGAATTTAAGTAATAAGATGAAAGAATACTAATTAATATTTATTTTCTTTTTTCATATTTTCAAGATAGTAAAAATTTCAATTTTAAGTTAGTAAAAATATTTAGTTAAAATCTTTAAAAATGTTACATATCTATCTTTTTTCATATTACAGTCTTTTAATTTATGATAAATTTAAATTTTTTTTCCTTGATAATTGCAGACATGCAATGTAATTGTGTAATGGGTATTTTTCCTGAGATAAGTCGTGCTTGGCTGGCTATTGATAGTGACATATACTTTTGGGTATATGAAGATGGGTATTTATATTGCTATTAAATCTTGTTGTATATGTTGGTTTAAATATTATATGCGTATTTGTATATATGTTGTTATTTTAAAAACAATTAAATGTCATTAAGTAGTATTTTAACTTTTTTAAATTTAACCCTTTTTAATTTTATTTTTTAATATTTATTTAATAAATAATTTATTTGAATGTTTGTTATTTTTCAATAAATATTTAGGAGTGATGTAGCTTATTTCGATGGAATCAAAGAAGTAATTCTTGCAGTTAATCTTATTAATCCAAAAGCAGGTTTGTTGTTATCAGTAATTATTTCAGAAGTAATTATTTTCGAAGTAATTATTTCAGAAGTAATTATTTCAGAAGTAATTTTTCAGAAGTAATTATTTCAGGTGGTTTCTTTAATAAAAATATGAATAAATTTTTTTGATATATTTTTTGTTTTTTAGAAAGTTTAAAACAAAAAAAAAGTTTGATATTAAAATTTATAAAAATAAGTTCATGGAAAAAATGATTTGTGGTTCTCCTTTGTTTTTCATTTCACTCCTTTTATGGTTCTCTTTTGTATTTGTTCTCATTTGTTTCTTTACTCTCCAAGTTTTTTCATCTTCTTGTTTTCATGTTGTTTCATCGTTATTCCAAGGAATAATATGGAATCGTTATTTATTCTTTACGGATTTATTCTTTACTATCTTTATTCCATTGATAGTCAAATAAACAAGTTTTAGATTATTTTTTTAAGTAACTAGCTTATACAACTCTCAGTTGACTTGCGCTTTATTAGAATAGTTTATAGATAGCTAGACGATAGGAGTTTTAGTTTAGAGCTAGACAATAGGAGTTTTAGTTTAGAGATAGGCAATAGGAGTTTTAGTTTAGAGCTAGGCAACAGGAGTTTTGCATTATCCAAAAGATTTAGCAGTCTTTTTTTGATTTTACTAATATGCAATTATTAGCTTTTACATAAAATATATCTGTGAAGGTACTATTTTAGCATTTTTATATGTATGGACTGGTGTACAAAAGACATACCATATTTTATATGGTATGTCTTTTGTACACAAGACCTACATTAATGCCTGAAGTCACAAACTGTTTTTTATAATCTTTGCATCTTCTTCAATAATTTCCAAAACCAAATATTGCAGTTGATTGTATTGTCTCGACAGAGCCACTCCAACAGGTTCTGGTTGTAACGTCACAGGTTTAACAATAGAAACCTCAGAGGCAGATACAAACATTTTCTTAGAAGAAAAACTGATTAAATTCATAATGACAAATTAAAGTTTAAAAACACACAAAATGAAAATTACAAGAACAAATAAAACCATTGAAATATTTTAATGGTTTTATTTTTTATATATATAGAGATAATAAATTAAAATAGTAACATAAAAATAGTAACATATAATATAACATAGAAATCTCAATAGATTTTTGAAACTAGTAAATAACAAACAAATCAATATGGTTAGGACATTTCATTGTGGTTAGACCAGTTCATTATGGTTAGATCACCTCATTATTGTTTGATCAGTTAGTTTTGATTAGAACCTCTATATAGTTATAGATTATATAAAGATTGTATTTTTTGAAATAATTTTGTAAGTATTTCTAAATTTAATTAATTTGTTTGATTCTAAATTAGGGATGTTTCAGGAACACATAAAGTATTTACTATGCGTTACAACTCCATTAAATATATACTTGCTGGGTGTGAGTTTTACAGAGAAAACAGGTAATTTTTTTTTGTTCAATTTATTTGATACTGAGAAGTGATTTAAACTTTCAGTACATTTTGTTTTTCATAACAATTTTTTAGGAATTTTTATTCATTAGAAACTTTTCAAAACTTGAATTTGTTAAACATATATTTGTTATACATTAATTCTATATAACATATAAATATATAATTTATTATTTATATTTATATGTTATACATTAATTATATATTAATTATATATTTTATTTTAATATGTAATAAGTTGTTGGTTTTATATCAATTGAAGTTATACTATTTAGTTTAACATACTTTAGTATATAATAAAATTAATGTTTGAATATCTTTAATTAATATAAACTATATTTATAACTAAATACAATCTTTATATATTTTTAAAAACTTCAATTCACCTAATGTATCATAGAAATTTTTATATAGATTTTTGAAAGTCTGATAAGTTCTCCTACTTATATTAGTTTTTTCAAACCCAAGATCAATTACCCTTTTGAAATTTGATTATCTCTAATCTTTGATTGGTAATTTGATTGCTTTTGATTTGTATTTCATTTGGTAGCATTAATACATTTGACAACTAGGGAAAGTTTGTAAAGAGAAGTTTTCAAAGTTATTGAATACTTTTTCTCTGTTATCCTCAGTTAAAAAACTTATAACTTATAAAAACAAAATCTTTAATTTGCTTTTCATTTTCCTAAACTTGAATGTATTCTCCATCTATATTTTCAAATTTATACGAGATATAGTAGATATCTCTTACAAGTTGTTCCAAAGTAGTTGTCAAATCGCTAGGTGTAAAAGAGTTCATATGTTATGTGTATTGCTTTACTTCAAATACATGCAATAAATATAATTATTTTTAACATGCATAGAATCATTATCTATTTTGTTTCAGGTACCTTTGGTCCTGATGATTTTGGCTCTATTCAACTACATCCTGAACCCTTGTTTCAAGTTCCGAGTGATAATGTCTACATGACTTCAATAACTGGAACAAGCAATGGAAGGATATTTTTAGCTGGACGAGATAGTTGTTTATATGAGCTTGTATACCAGGTGTGTTTTGAAGCAATTGTTAAAATTGTTTATGAGCATATATATATATATATATATATATATATATATATATATATATATATATATATATATATATATATATATATATATATATATATATATATATATATATATATATATATATATATATATATATATATATGTATATATATATATATATATATATATATATATATATATATATATATATATATATATATATATATATATATACAGGGGTGCGCAGGTTATCGCAGAAAAATAAAAATATTTATATCTCAAAAATGGCTTTTATTTTCAAAGTAAAACTATTCACAATACCAAATCACATATATTTTTACTCAAAAACACTAATGAATTTCAAAGTAGCCTCCTTTGGCATCAATGACACTCTTCAAACGCTCTGGAACTGACTCACAGCATCGTCAAACCATGTCCGGACTAAGATTCTTCCAGATCTTCTTCAATTCGTTTCGGAGGGCTGCCAAATTTGGATATGTTTTGGCTGCCTTCTTGGTCTCCATGACACTCCATATAGCAAAATCCATAGGATTAATGTCTGGGCTTAAAGGGGGCCACATATCTGGGGTCCAAAAGTGCGGAACATTTTCTTTCAAGAAGCTGACAGTTTTCTTTGCACTGTGTGCTAGTGCACTATCCTGCATAAAGGCCCATGGATCGTCCCCAAACTTCTTTTTGGCCCAAGGAATGAGGTTAGCTTTGATGAAGTCAACATAGGTCACCTGGTTGACTTTTACACCTTCAGGAACAAAAACAAGGGGAGTTTTTGACACATCAGAGCACACACCTGCCCAAACCATGACGCCCACAGGGTGCTGTCTCTTTGGAATAGTCCTCAGTTCCAAAGGAACTGTTCTTCTGGACTTACCAAGAACTCTGTCATTGTATCTGTTGGGTTCTGGTTCAACTGTGAAAATTTTTTCATCACTGTAAACAATAGGGACATCTTTGTGGTCTTTGAACCAATTTAGTAACTCTTTTGATCTTTTGCGTCTTTTGGCTCTAGTTGCCTCACTCAGAAGTTGTCTTTTTGACTTGACAAGGCTCTTCATACCCAGATCATCGTGGACAACAAGTTGCATAGTCCTTCGAGACACACCTGCTTCTCTAGCTAAGAATGAAATTAACCTGTTTGGGTTTCGTCGTACTTTGCAGTCAATCGAATTTCGAAGTTCTTTAGTTCTCACATAACGATTTGGGCCTGTTTTTTTTCTTTTGTAATTTTTTCCAGTTTCTAAGTCTTTTAAGAGTCTGTAGACGTTGGAATTATGAAGCTGTCCCTTCACGGCTTTGCAAATTTCAATTTTTTTCACACCACGTTTCCATAGATCAAAAACAAGTTTTCTTGCATTTTGCGTGCTGTCAAATCGTGCCATTTTTTGCATTTCTTGCATTTTGCATTTTTTGCATTTCTTGCATTTTGCATTTTTTTGCATTTCTTGCATTTCTTGCATTTTGCGTGCTGTCAAATCGTGCCATTTTATACAACTAAATTAGTGAAAAATGGCATTTTTTAAGGATTAACTTGTTGAACTGTGTTGCATTTTCCTGCCAAAAATGTTTTTCACTGTATATTATATTTTTTGCAGCGAAATTTTTGCTTTTATTTTTTTCTACGATAACCTGCGCACATATATATATATATATATATATATATACACACAACCCTCGGAATTAGAAAAAATGAGGTTGGCAATAATTTGCGGACCTCAATCTTTTTGAGGTCTGCAAAAGTTATTTGATACAAAGGTCTGACCATAAAACATAAAAACAAGGTCGGCAATTTTGTTTGGCAATTTAGGATTTGAACTGTAAACCAATGTTGAATTTTTCAATCAGAAAAAATTCTCTTTAAATGAGTTTTTTAAAACACACAAATTATCAATATATGTAAAAAACCATTCAATCCCATCCTTCTCCTGGGAAGGCTTGATATATATATATATATATATATATATATATATATATATATATATATATATATATATATATATATATATATATATATATATATATATATATATATATATATATATTAGGGTGATGCAAAATTTGTAGGTTCAAAACTTTAGTTGTCCTCAAGCTTGCCCTTGTTCTATATGACAATAGTAGTTATTGGCCAAAATTTGAATCAAATCGGATGATATTTAGGGCTTGCCATGTTTTGTCACATTTTGGTATAAGGTTACAAAAAGTAAAAAAAATATTTTTTATTTTTACATTTTTTATATTATATTACTGAATTATTTATTATCAATTTCTTATTATTATGTGGTGGATTGTGGATGTTCAATGTTAAAAAAATCAATACTATAGTACTACTATGTAATTGCACTAGGCAATAATAAATCAATCATCTTCATCATTCAACAGTCATCTTCATCAGGGTAGACTTTGATGCAACTGGAAATTCCTTCCGGTGAAGATCAACCAATCTAAGAAGAAACTGCTTTTGGTTTTCATCTTTCGTAACGCTTGAGTTAAAGGATGTTATAAGTGCTATGCCTTGTTCCGCGCAATCGTTGACGACTTTCATTTGACCAACCTTGTGCTTCATTTCAAGATATGTTGAATCCATTTCCCACTCTGAAGATTCTTTCATTAAAAATGATTCAGCTTTTTCTTTTCCATTTTTCAAAATTAGATCGAAAAGTTCTGCGGTGCGTTGTGTGACGAAGGAAGGCAATGGGCTGTGACAATCGAATGTGGCAGCATCAAGTCTTTTGAGAGATTTCTGCCTTGGCTGTTGTTTCCGGTTGTTTGCCATGTCTCTCTTGGTGTTGTTGTCGACACGGGAATCGAAGAAAGCCAATCCTATTAGATGTTCAGAAAAATACCAGAGGTGGCGATGAAAAGCTTTTGCTGCATTAATTGCAATTGTACGATTTGGATATTCTTGAATCCGTTAAAGAAGCTTGGCATCATTGAATGGTGCTCGTTCAGCTAACGGAGCTTCATTCCAAAACTGTCCGTATACAAATGCCACAAAAAGACTTATATCTGTTATTCCTTTCTTTTCCTTTGCAGTAATAACAAATTGATCCTGAAACAAATATATCTTTATACAATATATAGCTTTTGCCATCCAACGTGCATTGTGTGTTGCACCTGGAGCCCGAAACTTCACTTTGAACTCCGATGTTGTAGTTGATCCTCCAAGAAAAATAAGGCACAAATTCAAGAGTTCTAAGTAATCATCCCTGGGTTGTTGACCTTTAATTGCTTCACTATAATATACTACCATTTCTTCACGGAGTTTGAGAAAAAAATCGCAGTTGTAAAATTCTTTATTCCCTATAGTGAACACCTCCTTGTTGATTGCTGGCCATTGTTTCTGGAAACGGTTAAAAATTCCAACTTCAGGTCCTCCACTGGTTCCAAATGCAGTCGTGCAAATGGTGGAAAGCATGACTTCAAACATATGGTGCCTGCATGCTATCCATATAAGATTACGGTCAAGATTCTGCTCCATTATTGTGCAGGCACCAATGTTCAACCCAGTGTTAGATGAAGTAGTGTCAAAAACCAGTCCCCGAACAAGTTCTTTCAATTTCCAGTCTTTAAGAGCCTTCATGCAAGCATCAGCCTGTTGCTCACCTGTACCTTGATCAATCTTTGGAACGCCCAGCAATTTTTCCACCCCACCACCAGTCACAAGGATGGCAATTCTATCCACTTTTTTTTGACCACCAGTGATATCAGGTAAGAGCTTTCCATCCCAATGCAGAAGAAGTGGATCATCAGGAGAGAAATCAACCTTGTCAGCTGTAGTCACCGCTTCACGAACAGATTGCCTTTTTCTGCGGATTGTGCTGTACGACAATGATAAATCTTTTACCGAGTGACCAAGAGCCTGAGACACTGTTCCAACCACGAAGAGTGCACGGCGATCAGAAATATTAACACGATCAAGAGATGATACAACATTATTTGTTAGAACTTTCATCTTCTTTTTCGTTGAACCACTTGTGCTCAGTGTGCTGGAAGCGGAAGGAGTCTGATATACATCATCATCCGAGGAACTAGAGCTACTTTCACTCACAATGTCAACTGCTGATGAAGAAGAAATGAGTTCTGTTTTTTCCATCAGTTCCGCTTGACTTCTTTGACGCCTCAATTCCATTTTAGTTTCTCGGACTCGTTTCCGTGCCTCCCTAGCTGTTAAATTCCGATCAATTCCTGCCATACTACAACTTAATGGATCTTCTTGCTGCTGACGTAAAAATGCTTTATCTTCATCGTTTTTCATAACTTCTGATGCATTCTTGGTTGAAATATCAAAAAGTTCTTCAAGGTCAGCGTGGAAAATTCCTTCTTTCATTTGACAGCTGTCCAATTTTGATCCTCGGTGTTTTTTCAGCAGCAGATATTCGTCATAAAGTTTTTTTAACTTTCTTTCCGCATTGTCAATTCTTTGAGTTGGAATTTTTCCTCTCTCCCATATAACAAGAACTGCTTCAATTGTTGCCCGAATACTTTTTTTCACTTCTTGTTTCTCTTCTATATGATGGAAGAGCAACCTCCGAAGAACATCCCCTCTTGAAGGAAGTCTGGCAGTCGACAGAGTTTGTGTAGGTTTACCAACAAGCCACACCTCAGCAGAAGATCTAGTGGTTGCCATATTATCAATTTCTAAATTATAAATAAATAAACAATGAAAAAACAAGTTTGAGAAAATCACAAAATTTTACCAATGGTTAATTCATCTTATAAAACATGGCAACCCCTAAAATTGCTTCTTTTAGTCTAATTTTTGGTACACATGATCCTAGGTGATAAAGGAACACAGGCAACCTTGAGGAGAATGTTTTTTGTGACATTTTTTTTTTTCTATTACAATCTGAATCACCCTAATATATATATATATATATATATATATATATATATATATATATATATATATATATATATATATATATATATATATATATATATATATATTGTACATTATATATATACATTTATGTGTGTGTGTGTGAGTGTGTGTGTGTGTGTATATAAATATATATGTGTGTGTGTGGGTGTATATATAAATATATTTGTATATATATATATAATATATATATATATATATATATATATATATATATATATATATATATGTGTGTGTGTATATATATATATATATATATATATATATATATATATATATATATATATATATATATATATATATATATATATATTGTACATTATATATATACATTTATGTGTGTGTGTGTGAGTGTGTGTATATAAATATATATGTGTGTTGTGGGTGTATATGTTAATATATTTGTATATATATATAATATATATATATGTGTGTGTGTGTATATATATATATATATATATATATATATATATATATATATATATATATATATATATATATATATATATATTAGTAATGTGCCGGGTACCCGGTTTGGACCCGGAGACCCGGTAATTCGGCTGTTTTACCGGGTACCTGGTATCGGCCATTTTGTTGCAGTAACCGGCACCGGGTATCTTCAAATTGATTTTTTCTTTAGTTAAACTTTAACCATTAAACTTGTTGATATAAGTCTAAGAGTGTTATGTAGTCGATAACCACAAAGTTCTACTAACTTAAAACAATCTCACTTAAAATATTTTTCAATACATTTTTGCAAAAAAATTTATACGGATACAAAAACTGTAACACTAAATGAAATAATTCGAGAATACGAATAAAAAGAATGGGAAAAAAAGTTTTAGAATAGCTTCTTTTTATTCTGTTAGAACACAAGATAATTTTTAGCAATTTAGTTTTGAATGAAACGCTTATAATGCTTTCGAACGCTGATAGCACTTTTCATTCGTATCAAGCAAAAATCATAAAAGTAGAGATATAAGGTAAATATTATACACATTTGTCATATTTTAATTTCGAGCGTATTATTAAAAAATTATCGTTTTATATAAGATTAACGAAAACTTTGATATCAAAACTAGTTTCATTATCTTTATAGAAATTTTATTTGAAAGAAAAATTATGACAAAAAAAAAGTATAGCATGGAAGTTCTTTGATATAAGCACGACTCCTCATATGAGTAAGTGCAAACTATGTGATAGTTTAGTTACGAGAGGAGGAAAATCTTTCAAGTCTTATGGAACTACAGCAATGGTAAAACATTTGCGTTTAAAGCATTCCAAAGAGTTTGAACTTGCGGAAGAAAAAAAAAGGTTCAATCGTTGCCGTCTATTTCTGAAGCCTCAGTTGCTTCTACCACCAATACAGTACAAAGTAACATTATTCAGGCTTTACACAAAAAAAAACAGTGGAATATTGATGACCACAGATTTATTCGAATCCATAAAATAATAGGAAAACTTATTACATTGTATATTCAACCATTTTCTATTGTTGAAGATACTGGGTTTAATGAACTGATTAAAGATGCTTACCCCAATTACAAATTACCATGTAGAACATATTTCAGCCAAAACGTAATCCCTAGCATGTATGATGAACTGTTTAAAGATATAAAAATAAAAATCTCAGCGGCAAACTATTTGTCTCTGACGACAGATATTTGGACAGCGGATACTGCAAAAATCGCATTTTTAAGCATTACTGGACATTGGATAGATCTAACTAAATTTTCCCAAGAAACTGCTGTTCTTCGAGCAATTCATTTTCCGAAAAAGCACACAGGTGTTCATATAAAAGAGTATTTACAAAAAGGTTTAGAAACTTTAGAAATCCCGTTAAGCAAAATTCATCTTATTGTTACTGATAATGCAAGCAATATGAAGGCTGCAGTAAAAAGCAGTGGAATGTCATCAATTCCATGCTTTATCCACACTTTGCAGCTATGTATTCATGACTCTATATTTAGCCAAGAAACCATCAAGGAAATTTTAACTTTATGCAGAGGAATAACGACACATTTTAATCATTCGCCAATAGCATGTGCAAAATTAAAATCAATTCAGCAGCAGTTAAGTACTGTACCTCACAAAATGAAACAAGATGTTCCAACTCGCTGGAACAGTTCATTTGAAATGCTACAAAGAACGTTTGAACAAAAAGTTCCTTTGGTCACCTACGCAGCAGAATATGATGAAATTAAACTTCCTACTAATTATCAATGGGGAATAGTCGAAAAACTTGTTCACATTCTTGCTCCATTTGAAAACTTAACAAAAAAATGTGGTAGAAGGGACGAAACTTGCGCACAAATTATACCATCTGTTCTTGCATTAAAAGTTTTATTACAAAAAGCTTCATCAAGTGATATATATGCTGGGATTATGACGATGATTGATGAACTAGTAAAATCTGTTACTAAAAGACTTGATAAATTTTTGCTTAATAAAATGTTGTGTGTATCAACATTTTTGGATCCACAATATAAATTACTTTATCAACATGCAGATGAAAATGTTATTAAGGAGTGGGTTGAAGAAGCATGGGAAGAAATGCAAGGAGCGCAAGATGTTGTTGACTCTGACTCCGACGATGCTCCAATAGTAAAAGCTCCAGCATCTAATGGATTCATTAGCATTGGTAATTGCTTTAAAGATGTAGCTTCTATGAGAACCAGAAGAAAGCAGAGTAAAAGACGTTCCGAGGCAGAAAGAGTATTAGTAGAAATTGAAGTTGTTACCACTTTATTTGTTTAAATTTGTTTTATTTTAATCACTCTACAGTGGAGAAGGTCTACATTTTTTTGCAATTCTTTATATTTCTTAATCTTTTGCTTTCCATAATATAACTTTCAATGATGGAACTTCAAATTTTGCCACCTTTCTCACAAAATATTATTTAGGCCCGCTCCACCAGGAAAGAAAAATAATTTTAAACTAAATGTAGTTATTAAAAAACTGTTGCACAACTTTTAAAAAAAGTTAGGCCCTACAACTCAGGCCCCTTACCCTGCATTGCGGGGTTTTGCTAAATGGTACTTCGGCCACATAACTTTTGGTTAGTTAGCGTAAAAAGCGTATTTTGTGTGAATAGTTCAGCGCTAGAGATTTCACAAATTTTTATTCCAACTTTTAAAAAATGGACTCGGTGCCGAGTACTTAGACTCGGACCCGGTTTTTTCAGCCGGGTACCCGGAATCGGAGACTCGGCATAAACTGGTTCCGGCATATATTATTTTTTTGCTTTGTAGAAGATATCAAAGTTTTAAATTTTTAAATAATTGAGTTTGAAAATAATTAAGTTTGGATTAAATAACTTTAAAACTTCGATTTTTTCTAAATATTTAAATTAATTTTATGCTTCTATTTTTTTAAATTTATTTTATTATTTGTTAAGGTTTTTATTTCTAAATATTTAAATTATTTTTTTCTATTAAACTTAAATTAATTTTATGCTTCTATTTTTATTATTATTATTTTTTTTTATTATTTGTTAAGGTTTTTATTTTTTTAGTTTAGTTTTGTATTTTTTTAAGTTTTTATTTCTTTTTCCAGTTTATAGTGTTTTTTTTTTAAATTTTAGTTAAAGTTTACACTTATTTAATTAGCGCATTTTTTAAACACACAAACTTAAAACATGCAAGGAGCCTTGGCCAATTTGTCAAAATACAATGTGTGATTGTACACGTCTCCTGAGAAGACTTGATATATATGTAAAATACAAAAAAAATTCACTATTTGCTCTACAAAAAGAATTTACTGTTTGCTCAATGTTCTTAAAGAACAAAGCAGTAATAAATAATTAAAAACAAAGATTAGAAAAAATGATTGACTTGAAAAATGATCAGAAGTGGGTGCAAAGCAATTCAACCATAAAAATCTTATTTAAAAGATGAGCCAAATACTTTAAGCAGCAAAGAAAGATTTGTTCCCAAAACAGTCAAATATTTTTTTAATTTTAAATTTACCACTGACATTTTGAATTATTTTTAAAAATTTATTCACACAAAAATTGTGCATTGTTTTTTCAACTCAACATTTTTTTTATTGTTTTATAAAATTATCCAAATTTTTGCTCAATTTTTGTGTGTGGTCTATTTTTCTTATATGTAAAGGCTACAAATTTCATTTCAACGGAGGAGGGTCAAGATAATGATCAATTTTCATGAAACTTTAATTATAATTATGTATTGGAGTCATAAATAATTTTAAAGCAGAAATTAAAAAAAAATCTTTTATAAATCTCTCTAATATAAATACAAGTTCTTTTAAAAATTTATTTATATAGGCAAAATCTGGTTGGCTGTTCGGACAACGTTGTTATAAAGTAAATCATTCGTCTAGCAAACTATCTTATTTTGTTCCTGTATTTCTATCATTTGTTTTTTCCCAGGATGGTAAGTAGTATAAATGATTCTTGTTTAAAGTTGCAAATATTTATAATTTAATTTCAAAACATTGTAAGTTTAACATCTAAAACAGGTGGTTTAAATAGAATTCTATCTAATCTAATCACTCTGATGTTACGTTTAAAAAAAATTAATTTTTATGCTATGCATTTACATTTGTAATCTTGTTTTTTATTTTTTGTTTTGTTTTATAGATCCTATTGAGCAACTTGCAATGGATAATACAAGAGGGATTCTTTATTGTCGTACAATGAACGGTAACATAAAGGTCATTATGATATATCTTGATTGAACATTATTTAAAAAAAAGATTTATTAGGCATAATAATTATATTTACCATAAATTTTATTAAAATTTTATTTAGTTTATTTAAGCAACATTGCTGTTTATAAAAATAAAATAGTAAATTTTTAAAAAAATTATTGGAAGTTGTTGGAAATTTTCAATCTGAAAAATGTTGAATTTTTTAAATCTTTTTTTGTCTCTGATAGCTGAAAAATTCATTCAATTCAATTCATTTCTACTTTTAATTCATTATTATTTTTACTTTTATTTTTTGTTATTATTGTTGTTTATGTTTATTATTTTTATTTACATTATTATTTTATATAACTTTACATAGTAATTTCCTTAATTTTTAACGAAAATTTTTGAGTGAAAATAACAAAATGAAGAAAAGATTTGAAAATAATAAAGACAAATAAACTTTCAAAATATGCTTTTGATGAAATCTTTTTTCCATAAAAATTTTAAATTAAATTAAGTTTTAATTAAATGTAATTGTAAAAGTATGTTCTGTCTCTTTACATAAGGTAAATTGTAAAAGTATATTTTGTCTCTTTACATAAGGTAAATTGTAAAAGTATATTTTGTCTCTTTACATAAGGTAAATTGTAAAAGTATATTTTGTCTCTCTACATAAGATAAATTGTAAAAGTATATTTTGTCTCTTTACATAAGGTAAATTGTAAAAGTATATTTTGTCTCTTTACATAAGGTAAATTGTAAAAGTATATTTTGTCTCTCTACATAAGATAAATTGTAAAAGTATATTTTGTCTCTTTACATAAGGTAAATTGTAAAAGTATATTTTGTCTCTTTACATAAGTTAAATTGTAAAAGTATATTTGTCTCTTTACATAAGGTAAATTGTAAAAGTATATTTTGTCTCTTTACATAAGGTAAATTGTAAAAGTATATTTTGTCTTTTGACATAATGTAAATTGTAAAAGTATATTTTGTCTCTTTACTTAACTATTGTTGGTAAAATAAGTAATAACAATTGTTAAATAATTTTTTAATAGATTGATTTAGCATATTTAAAATTTATTATAAAAAAGAAGCAGTTTTAAGTTATGTTTAATTTGCTCAGTAAATTCGTTTCTATTTTTAAACATTAGAGTAAAAGTTTTAAAAGTTTTCTTGTTCAAATTTTATTAACTATGTTTTTGTTTATGATAATCATTAAAAGTATAATCGTTTAGTATTTGTACTATTTCTATAATCTCAATGACCAAAAGATAGGTTTATGTCCACAGAAGAGTTTTTGAAAGAATTTTTGAAGAAAAAAAAAATTGAAACTTAATCTTAAAAGTTAATTTTACTCTTTTTATCAATGTTTAACATTTGCATATTTTAACTTTAATTTATCTTTTTCAGGCTTATTATCTGGGTGCTGATCTCTCAGAAATGCGATTCATGTGTGGTATTAGCAGTTCCAATGCATCAAAGCATGCTCAATACATTCTTCGGTAATAATTGTTATGTTATCTAATATATGTAATGTTTTTGATTGGATAATTAAAATTTCCTGCTTTTCGAAGATATTTTTAAGCAGATATATGTATATATATATATATATACATATATATATATGTATATATATATATATATATATATATATATATATATGTATATATATATATATATATATATATATATATATATATATATATATATATATATATATATATATATATATATATATATATATATATATATATATATATACATTAAACATCTTCGCTTCCAACAAGGCTGCAAGTAACCATTTATTAGTGTTGGAAGTTATTGGAGGAAAAAAAAAGATTAAGATTGTAGAGCAAGATAACGATTGACAGACGACTTAAAAGATTGCAAATTATATGAATCAGGAAAGCAAGATGAAGGAAGCAAATTCCAAAGAACTGATGTTTGAGGAAAAAAACTAGACGAGTAAGAGTTTTTGGAGCACTTAGGAACAGTCATAGAAAAAGGATGAGACTTAATTGAATGACGAGTAACACGAGAATGAATTTTAGTAGATGGCACAAGAGACGCTAGCTCTTTAGAGCAGTGCCTATTATATTATTTGTAGAAAAGAGAAAGAGAAGCAACATTATGACGATGTGACAAAGGTTGAAGTTTGGCTGTAAGAGCAGGTCTAACTATGTTTACAATGCGTTTTTGCACCTTGTCTAAAAGAGAAAGGGCATCATTAGAGGATCCTCCCAAGATGGAAACAGTATTCCATACAATGCTGGATTTGAGATTTATAGAGATAGAGAATAGAATCAAGAGTAAGAAAGTGTCGAGCTCGATAAAGAGATGCAACTTTAGCAGATGCTATTTTTATCTACAGCTTTTTTTTTGCCTTGGGTCCCTGAATCATGTTTTCGAAAACTGGACTTGACGTTTTCATTCTAAGGTGTGTGTTACTTACTTTTAAATATAATAAAAAAGTTTTTCATTTGTTTTAAAATCGAAATTAATTTTTTTATATAAAATTTTATTTTCAAAGAAATTAAAGAGAAAAAGAATCAAATGCAATTTCACAACATCAAATTAACTGGAATGAATGTATTGAGAAAGAATATTTGAAAAGTGTTGGAATGAGAGTAACTTAACTGATTTATATAACATAACATTGATAATGTTTTAAAACAAGCCTTTTGTTTGGATAAGTGTTATGTAATTCAAATTTTAACTACATTTAAATTTGAGCCATTACAATCAGTCCTTCCACGCAGAAAAAATAGAAATTGTGAAATTTCCATTTAACTTAACCTAATTTTCAATTTCATTTCATGTTATAAAATTCTAAAAATATCTTACAGAAAGAAAGAAAAAAAATCTTCTATTTTGTCTTAAATTTTTTGCTTAAAATTATGTAATAATTTTTTTTTATTTGCCTGTTTGAAAGTTTCTCGCTTGATAAATTTACAATACGGGGTGGACGACACAGGACTCATACTTCTGATCTTTCTTGGAAATCTTATATCATCAGATTTGATATAAGATTTCCAAGAAAGATCAGAAGTATGAGTTAATCCTAGAAGATGAAGGGTAGATGACTCATCAAGTACATTACCATTCATAAATATAGGAAGGTCTAAATTATTGTGATAACGATTGGCTGAAAAAAATTGAGTTTTATCTGAATTAAAGTTCACCTGCCACTGTGAGCCCCATGCTGTAGCAGAAGTGAGATCCTTTTCAAGCTCAGATGCCCCCTGCAAGCAATCAGAGGGAATTGGCTTCTTATCGTGACTAGAATAATAGTAGTATCATCAACGAGCAATGCTACCTTAGATGTGAGAAAATCTAGAAGATCGTTAATGTAAATTAAAAAGAGTATAGGGCCAAGGATTGAACCTTGAGGAACCTCTGAGGTTACAGAATAAGAAGAAGAGTGCTGTCCATCAAAGGACAACTTTTATACTACGATTGGAAAGAAAGGATTCAATAATCTTAAAGATGTTTCCAGATACACCGTAAGAAGAAAGCTTATGGAGAAGACCAGCATGCCAAACTTTATCAAACGCCTTAGAAATGTCAAGAGCAATGGCCTTAACCTCTCCACCTTTATCTAATGTGCGATAAAACCTATCGATTATTACTGATAGCAAATCAGCCGTAGAACGAGAAGATCGAAATCCATATTGATGATCAGAAAGTAAGTTGTTAGATTCAAGATGAGAGATTAAGTGTTTGTTAATTAAAGATTCAAAAACCTTGCTTATGATAGGAAAAAGACTAATGGGATGGTAGTTAGACTAATCAGATTGCTCACCAGAATTTTTTAAAACAGGGATAGCAGATGCTGCTTTTCAGCAGGCCGGAAAACAAGACTCTGATAAGCACTTGTTGAATAGTTTTGATTGGATAAACGACAGCTCCTGAGAACACTTCTGCAAGACTACAACAGGTATGTTGTCCGGGCCACAAGCTGTAGAAGAGTCTAAGCAGGAAATCACTTTAGAAACAGAAGCTGGAGTGATGCGGATGTTGAGCAATTGATCAACCTGTTTGACGGCTATATCAGGTAGAACTAGTGATTTCGCTGGTTACCCGGTTTTGCGGTTAACCGGATTTTGTTCGAATATCAAATATCTATTTTCGAATAATAAAAACCGACTTAAAAATGTTACAAAATTTTATAGAAAGTAACATCGTAATTATGACGATTATTGTTTGACAAATGTTAATTTATCAAAGATTATAATATATTTCTTTTATTAATTTAAATGTTAATTTAATCAGTTTTGTTTGATAATATATTCTTAAAACAATTTACAGTAGAAATCTCAAACAAAATACAATAGAAGATTTATTTATTACTTTTACAACTCAAGCAATACATTTTTAAGAAAGTTTCTTCAGAATATTCTGTAACTCTAATTTGCTTATTCAGCGTATTTTTTGAATCAATAGAATTTGTTTATTTGTATATTTGGCGGTATTTTAGTGTTAGCAAATATTCTTTATATTATCTTTACGCAACATGTTGTTTTGAGAACATTCAAGTTTATCTATGTTTCCATCTATGTCCGCATAACAATAAGTTTTTAAAATACACGCTAAAAAAATTTACTTCATAACATCTGATTTTTCCAAATCAAATGTTTTTATATGAAAGAATGATTTTAAAATATCCGCTGATATTTAATTATTCAAACTATACTTGTACATTATTCTTACCTTTTTTAATTATATAATTAAAAAGGTATATTATATTATAATATAAAAAATATATATATATCTTTTTCCATGTTTTGTTATAAATATATAATATAGGACTGTATTCACTAACTGTCTTGAAATGTACACTTTAACATTAATTTTTAAAAAATTAGTTTAAAACGCTACGTTCGTTGAAATTTAGAAGATCCTGTATTCAGAAAACGTCACTAATTAACCGAATAGTCGGTTAACCGCAAATTGATGAGAACTGTTATCCGGTTTTTGAAACAGATAACCGGCGAAATCACTAGGTAGAACGCAACTAGTGGAATCAAGAGATGATATTGATGAAAAGTTCTTAGCAAACAATTCAGCTTTGTCTTTAGGTGAGGTGACAAAGTCTGAACCATACAAAAGAGGTGGAATTACAGACTTGCCCTTATTATTGATACTATAAAAGATTCTCCAGAAGTCACGAGAGTCTAATTTTTGTGATGAAATACGAGATTTCAAGATCTGAGAATAGCGGGCTTTGGCGTTAGACAAAAGCTTTTTACAATGGTTCCTAGCAGTAATAAACAGACGTCTGTTTTCTGGAGAATTGTTTTGCTGATAGATATAGAAGTAATGGTTTTGTTTAGCGATTACAGCAGCACAATGTTAGGAAAACCATGGAGAAGAGTGAGGCTTGACCTGGAATCGTCGAGAGGAAATAAAGGATTCCATGCCAGCCTGAATCCATGAAGTTATGTAAGAAGCACATTTGTCAACAGGAAGATGAAAGATTTTTACCTAAGGGCCATCATGAAGAAAATCACGGAAAGAGTCCCAGTCAGCTTTAAGGTAGTTGTAAGATGTACGATGATAGGGGGATTCTGAGAAGAATGAGATAATAGTTTTAGAGAGACCAAACCATGATCGGAAGCACCTAAGAGTGTGAAGATATTGAGCACTGACTAGGATCAGAAACAAGACAAGTCAAGTAGAGAAAGTAATTAAGTTAAATGATTTGGGTTGTCTGGAAAGCGAGTTGGAAAGTTGACTATTTGAGTTAGAGATTGAGAAAGGCAAAAGTTGTGGGCTTTAATGCCTGCAAAGTCACTGACACTAGAGCTAAGCCATTCAGTGTGATAAACATTAAAGTCACCAACAACAACAATATTGGCTGATGGATAAAGAGAGAGGGCTTGGTCAATATGATCAGAAATAATATATATATATATATATATATATATATATATATATATATATATATATATATATATATATATATATATATATATATATGTATATATATATATATATATATATATATATATATATATATATATATATATATATATATATATATATATATATATATATATATATATATATATATATATAATAGTTGTATAAGATATTTTGATGAAAAGTTTTGATGAAATGTTTTAATAAAGAGTTGTTATGAGATCTTATTAAAATTTCTTATGTAAAGCACTAGTATTTTAATAATGCTTTTGCAGAATTAATTTGTTTTTATAAAAGTTGTGTTTACTTATTAACACTGTTTTGAGACTTGTTATTTTCGGAAATACATTTTGCATCATGTTTTGAGTTTTAAAAAAATGATATGAACTTTTTGAATATGAACATATTGTATTTCATATTCTTGATCGTCTAGAATTCTTTAAAAACAAATCTCTATTAAACATACTTTGCAAAAAAAAAAAAAAAAATTATATGCAGCATTCACTAAAATAAAATAAATTGCCTTGAGTGAGCGAGCTGCTAATTAGTTTGTTAGAAATAGGTTTTCAATCATTTTGCAATGTTACTTTAATTTTGACCTGTTATTTCAAGGTCACTCAAGTTTTTCTATTTTGAGATTTTATTTTGAAACTTACTGTAATTCAATAAATTAATGATAATTTATATAATATTTAATATAAATAGATTTATTATTTTAAAATAATTTATAGTTAACAATTCTTAAATTTTGTTTAGAACTGTTGATTATCGTAATTTTGAAAAGATAGTTCATATAGCACCTGTTCCAAAGTCAGATTCCAGGACAATTCATTTAGTTGCTGTAACATCAACAGGTATATTTTCAGTGTTTTAATTTTTTAACCAGTTTAGTTTGCAGTTTTTAAGCAAAGTTAAAAATTATTTTGTATTTAATAAATTGGTCAGGTCATCAATGTCAACTGAATCAAAAATTATTTCATTCCAAGTGGATCAAAAATTTTACATTAAAGATTCAATGAATTTTATTGGGTCGTAGTAAACGACCGGGGGAGGTATTTGGCCAAGACCAGTTCTACAGACGGAACAGCATAAATAATGTTGAATATTAACATATTTTTATATACCATATCAATATGCATTAATATTTATACAGTCTCAGCCATAAACCCGGCTTTGATCCACGTCAAATACCAGCCCCGGTCGTTTACTATGGGGTTGGTTAATTAACGCAAAACATTTTATCAAAATCTGTGTTAATTCATTTTAAACTAAAATAGTTGTTTACATAGTATCTTATTATATATGTTCTTATTATATCTGTGTTTAAAAGTTCCTTGAAGAATAACTAGAATGTTTTATTTTATCAATAAATGTTAGATCAAAAAATGTAAGTGAAAAGTGCAATCTTGGAATTTTTTTCTTTCTATTCTTTTTTATTTTAAAAAAATTCTGGTTTATATTATTTAGGTGTTCGTTTATATTTTGCAACTTCTCAAGATGTTTATGGAACTCCAAGTAACCTTTGTTTAGTTCATGTGCGTATGCCACCAGGCTTCGCACCATCTCTTTCTCCTGAAAAGCCATCAAATGTGCATGCAGCTTTTTACCGTCAAGGTAAATAAATTAGTTTCAAGTGCTATAGAATTTATAAAAAATATATTTTTATTTTATGAAATTTGCATGAGTTTGTGGTTTAATAGTTTTTTTTTGTAATTAAGAATATTGACGAATAATAGTTAATTAACTTTGCAGGTACTTCAATACTCATTGGTGGTGTGTCTGAGGAGGTTGACAGGTTATGGTGTTTAAGTCAAGATTTGTTTCCATTCAATATTCCAATCAGGGAGTCAGAGGTTATTTAAAAGACTTAAAATTTTGAAGTTTAATTTTTATTACTGATGAATATTATTTGGAATCATTTGTTTCATTGACAACATTTATGATTTAAAATTCAAGTTAGACATTTCTCTACGAGTTGTTTTAAAATTCAGACCATCTTATAAAAGTTAGTTCTTGTGTAAACTAACCAATGGGTCATTCCATGCCAAATAAATCAAAATATTTTTGATTTCAACATGGACCCCTTCAGATTTTGATGAAACTTAGTGGGTTTGTTAATATCAATGAGAAAAGCAATTCTTGAAAATTTCAGCATAAAATATTTTGTGGTTCATGTGATATGGTCATTTGAAATTTCTGGTTTTTCCAAAAACAAAAACTTCAGTAGCAAAAACATGTTTTGTTCATACTTTGAAGCTTTATATTTTAAAAACAAAATTTCAGAAAACCTTCTAGTTTTTTTTTATTGTATACAACGCTAGACTTACTTTAATAAAAGTTTGACATTGAATTCTTGAATGCCACATTTTTTCTATAATGGCTACCTAAAAAAAAACGTTGTTTAATGGCTACCTAAAAAAAATTGTTTGCATGTATAAAAAGTTGATTTTTGATGAATCAATATACAAAACCTGCAGTTTAAGAAGTGAAAATAAATATTTTTTTAGTTTCTATATATGGTAGGCTTTTAAATTTTTAGAAATTTACTGATAAGATTATAGACCTCGAAAAATGGCTGCGACTAAAACTTAGGAAAATGTGCCTCCACTTCAAACCACTGGTAACCTAGGATCAACACTGGTTTTAATAACATTTTTTTTTTTTCTAATTAAATAGACTTTATTACAGTGATTTTAGAAAAAAAAAAAAGTGGGTAATCATGGAAAAGTTACAAAATCAGAACAATGAAAAATGCATTAAAAACAATAAAAAAAAAAGTTATTATTGTACTTTAGTTTGTTTTATATATTATAATACAAAGTATATATGAATTTAAAAGTATTTCATAATTAGTACTAGAAATAAGTCTTTATTTAAGCCTGAATTAAACTCAGTTTTTAAATAGCCCTAGCTTTTTCCTCGCCCCTCCCCCTGCCCTGTCCATTTACTTTTTAACATTCACATTTTTTCCCAGAACTTAGAAAAAAACTGTAAATTGAACACTTCTCTTTACATGGTGTGTCTGGTTGTATGTCTAATGTATAACAAAAACCACCATTGTTTTATACCACAATCATTATCTACTTTACAGGTGTATGACCTAAAATGCAGCATATAGTTCCACTTGCTTCACCTTCACCATAAATATACCATGTGTTCATGATGCAAAATAGTTTTTAGCAATATTGTGGAAATATCTAAGATGTTTTTATCAAGTTCATGAAGCAGTATATTTCCCTAAACACTTTTACTTGGCCACATAAAGAAGCTATTTGCTGCGTTTCAATAACGCAGGTTCTATACAAAATTTCATCTTTAAAAGTTCAATCAACCACTGGTAAATGGTATGAACTATCAGCTTAAGAAAAAACTGAATTATTTGATCTATTTATCTATCTTTTATATTATTATCTTTATTTTATTTATCAATCATTTCAGCTCAAGAAAAAACTGAATTATTTCATTGTACAATAGCATAAGTAACATAATTAAGTAACTACATATAAAATATAATCCGTAATAACAATTAAGTAATAACAGCAAAATTATTTTTGGAAAAATCAGAAATTTCAAACCACCATATCTCATGAACCACAAAAGATATTATGCTGAAATTTTCAGGAATTGCTTTTCTTATTGATATTAACAACCCATTAAGTTTCATCAAAAAAGGGTTCCATGTTAGACCTCCGTCCAGTTGACATAGAATGACTCCAATAATTAATGCAATTTAATTTTTTTTATATGAAATTTGGCTATAAAAATAGTCATGCACGCTTCACTTGTTTTTCTCTCAAAATTATTTATCAAAAGCATTCTACTAAGAAAAATACTCTAATTCAAGGGAAATTAAGTGCTAGATGAAAATATAATAATTTTTTTTTAAACACATGTAAAATAAGAATATAGTTTTGGTGCAAAAATGAAGGTAAATTTTACCAGATTTTTGTTTAAAAGAAGTAAAAATAAATATAAGATATTATTTTGCATATGCCTTTTGTATATTGTATATATATTAAATAATTATCTGCAAATGAACAGAAATTGCTTAATTTTTATCTGATTTTTGATCGAAAAATCAGATAAAAATTAGAATAATTGTAATCAGATGTTGCTGGTGATTAAAACAACTCTCTAAATTTCAATTATCAGCTTATTAGGCAAATTTTTAACTGTATTTTTTATTCAAAGTGGCGCATACATTTAAAGAAAGATTTTTATGGAAAAGTTTAAACTTCGAAAAGGTATTTAAAAACAAGGTCTAACATATAGAAATTGTTTTATCTGGAAAAAAAATTACCAGATAATTAGGTTCAATTAGTTTTACATGCATTTTTTTTTTGAATTAAGCAAAGTTGTTGTGTGGGGTAATGTTGTTGTGTGGGGTAATGTGGGTCAATGTGTCAATGTGTATTGTGCCAATAAAAATGCTTATACAGCAATAAATACCTTTAAAATAAAAATTAGTATTAATTAGAAGTCTGACTATGTTTCTGGATTCATTTTCCTGGAGTCATGTTGCTTTGGATTCATTTATGATGATCATTAAAGATATAATGATGTTATGTTTACAGTTAAAACTAGTAGGTAATGCAGCATAGTAGTAACGTAGCAGTTTTGAAGGATTGCACATTGATTTTTTTATTATATAAACGTGTTGTTATTGAAGGATGATGAATCTCTACTATATAATGCAAAAACATCTGGATAATTTTCAATTGAACTTTTGCTTTAAATTCTTCCTTAAACATAATTTCATCTTGTTTGACTTTTTATAAGTACTTTGTCTTTCAAATTTAAACATCATTTATTCAATATGGAGAATTATAATGTGATTTGCTCTATAAATTTAGAAAATTGGTATAAAAAAACTATGGAAATTGAACCACAAGAATGCTCTACGAGAACCTCAAGAAAGCTCTATGTGAACCATGAGAGAGCTCTGCATACTTTTTAAAACAGCTAACAAAGATTAAAGTGAGAGGTTTCGAGTTCAATTCCCACCATGTCCCTGGTAGTACAGCGCTCAAACTTGTTTCTCTGTGCAGCTGCCTTATTTGTCAAGGTTCGTGTTTTGGAGTTATAGAGTTGAGAGAGGGTTATAACCACAATTATGTAGCCTTCTCATCTGTAGTAGCCTTCTCGGCTATGGGGAAGTGAATTGCCATTAAAAAAAAAAAAAATTATAACCAAAAGTTATAAAGTTATAAGTACCTATTGAAGTTTAAACTTTAAAATTATCTATTAATATCTAATTTTGTTTCAACTTTTGATCAATTAATTTAAATATAATACACACTCTTTTAAATAATGGCTTTTAGTCATATTTTACTACAAGTTGGTATATTTCATCGAAAAAAGATAAAAGTATAACTTTGACCCACAAAATGGGTATTGTGGTTTTATTGAACACAACTCAAATCGGTGCTCCTTAGACAACTTTATGTTTTATTTTTTAAATTATGTATAAACATTTTTTGATGTAGTGAACTAAAAATAATGTCTAATCATGATTTTAAGAATGTTTTGCTATATATATATATATATATATATATATATATATATATATATATATATATATATATATATATATATATATATATATATATATATATATATATATATATATATATATATATATATATATATATATATATATTGCTCAATATCAAGCTCAATATCTTTTAGCTAAAGAAGGCCTAGATTGCCCCACCCTAACTTATTAACTAGAAGTAACTATTTTTTTTTATTAAAGAAGATATTATTTAATAATATTAGCAACATTAATTTATCTCATTAATTGCAATAGTTTTTCAGGCCTTGTGATGAATAAGAACTGCGCGACGCATAAGCACGACGTGATTTTTGACGTCATTAAATTCTTTTTATTTGCTTTTCATATTTATAGACATTAACTGCACCAATTTACTTAATTACCGCAAAACTACTTTAAATCGTTTATGTAAAAATGTTATTATTTAAAAATGTTTTGGAATGTTTCTTTTTTTAAAATGTAAAAACTTTTGTTTATTTTCTCGATGTTTGTCACGTTTTGTCTATACTAAACAAATAAAAAACATTATAACTTAAATTTAAAAAAGATTATAAAATATGCTAATATTTGATTTTTTTTTTAAAATATGTAATTTAAAGTTTTTCAAATAATTATTTTTTCTTTTTAAAAAGTCAGCGAGTAATAAACTGGAAATTTTAATATTGTACGATTAAAAACTGTGCAATAGCTAATATTTTTATAAGCGATTTTATATAATATTTATTTATTTATTTTTACATAAAGCAGTTGATAAGCACAATCACTCGTATTAATAAAAAACTTAAACGAACGTTTTGAATAGATTTTTAATGTTAACAAGGATTTTTATTTCTAGTAAAATAAAATAAAATGTTAGAATAAAAATCTTATAGGTATTAAAGAAATATTTCAGCGAAAAAATTATTCTTAAAAATTATTATTATAAATTATTCGAAAAACTATTGATGTTTTATTTTTCAGCGGCTGTTCTTAAGCATGCTTCGTTGAGTTTCGGTAACTTTTAACATAAAAGCGATCGTTATTATTTAAGTAATTTTTTTGAGTTACTTTTTACAAAAATTTTAATAACTGTACTTTTTTATTGAATCAAGTAGAATACGTTTTAATATTAATCCTTTTTTTTTATTTTATTTGCTCTCACCAATTTTTAAAATGTTTCCTCGAAATTACACTTAAATACTTTAAATACGTCTAACAGTTAATAAATATTTTTAAATCTATGGAATAATTTTAAAACCTAACAAACCCCCATAAAATAATTATTTAAGTTTAAAATCTAAAACTAAAAGAAAGTATTTT